GAAAGGCTCGCAAGGAGATGGCCGCCTACAGCCCAGGCAGCTGCTTTGCCCAGGCCTCTTTCTAACTGTGGCTTAAATAAGCAATGGCATTTTTGATGGGCCTGTAAAATGCTGGTTTACTAGTGTTGGCCTCCTGTCCTCCTAATTGTTAGCATTAGGAATACACAAGCACATGTTGCCGGAGAAAGAAACAGAACTGGGCTGACCCAGACTCCAACATGTGGCTGTGAAGCTCACTGCTGAACCTCTCAACCTCTGATCATCTCTTAGCCTGGCCTACGTCACAGGGATATTGTGAGGATAAAATGGGGCTGGAAGCAGGAAGGGCAGGGCAGGATGCGGAGCTATCCTAGCATCCAGATGCAGGTTCCAGTGCTGAGGGCTCATGCTTTGTGTCCCTCCCTCAGCCATGCCTTGTAGTTACACTGTGTGATGCCAGTGGGGTTAATTCTCCATGCTCCCGGTAGCATTAAGCGCATGGCAGACACATGAATGGACCCTGGTTGCAGGGAAAGCCACTTGGAAGAGACCCCGCAGTGGAAGAGCGCTGAGCAGGGAAAGGGCAAGTCCTGCTCAGCCCTCTGCGTCTTCTCCACTCCAGCTGGATGAGCTGCTTCTCTCTGCTAGAAGCCGCTGTGGTTCCACTCATATTTTTATGGAAAACATATCTGAAGAGATGCCACTCCATTGTTCTCCTTATTTAGAATCCATATTAAAATTCCAAACTGACAGTACATAAAGTGTTCTTGAGGTTTTTAAAAATAAGGTTTGTGTTGCCCAGTCTGAACTTTCAGTCTGTGGGTAACACAACGTACATAACGATCGCCATGCTACGCAGAGTCAGTCCAGTATTGTTTTCAAATTACACGGACTGTCTGCCTCAATAACTGATATGCCAAACCCCAGTAAATCAACACCTTTTTGTTTGTGGTCAAGGGGCTTCTAAAATATGACTAGTTAAAAACTGCATTGGCTACAATACGATGCCCGAGAGAAAGCTTTTATTTTAGGGGCCTGTACTGGTTTTATAAGGTTGTCTGCAGATATAAAGGGTTTTGTTTTGGGTCTTCTTGGTCAGGATAAGCATGTTGCATATAAACTGTACTTTACATTAACTGATGCAAGAATCAGGATTACAGCCTATTACTATTCCTGGGCAAGCTAACCATCTGCTTTAGAGAAAGTTTGGATGTTGTAGTTCTGCACACAGAATCATGTCCCATTTAATCTCTTTCACTTCTCTGTGTGTTTCAACTTTTGATTGAAGTTATGTATGTTACCTTAATTATGTCCCCCCGCTCCCCACATTGCTCCTTTTGTATGATCCGCTGAAGCAATGTGAGAGTGATCTTTGACAAATGATGGTGTTAAATATATTTAAATAAAGCAGTACCAGAAGTAATAGAGATTCTTGGGAACCTCCGTTGTGGAAAAAAAATCAATTTTGTTGTAATCACGGCATGAACCATTTCTATGACAAAATTGGTAAGTCACAATAAGAACTGACCCTATTCTGGAGGTAATTTTGTTTAATCATTTGTATGTTTGTTTGAATCGCATGAAGAAATAGAGATCAGAGGCAGAAAACCAGTGCCCACCTCTGGATTTTGCTGCCTGAAGTGGCTGCTTCATAGAAACTTCATGCAAAGTCAAGACTCCTTGGAGAAGACAATCATACTAGAGAAAGTGGAAGGCTGAAGAAGAAGAGGGGGAAGGCCAGCTACAAGATGGGACAATTCTATAAAGGAAGGAACAGCTTTGAGTATATATGAGCTGTGCAGGGCTGTCAAGGACAAGACATTTTGGACAGCAGCCGTTCATGTGGTCGTCATAAGTTAGAGATGATTTGATGGCATGGAACCACAGCAACAACAAAACAACAAACTATTTTCTGCTTTTATTTCAAAATGACTATGAATTATACAATACCGACTACATCACCCTTATGTCTGTTGTCATACTGAAATGCTTCTACAAGGGGAGGGGGGTGAGGCAAGGCTTCTGTTACAGAAGCCATGCTGACTCCTCAGTCTATAGGTCCTACTCTTCCATACATTTAATCATGCAGCTTGTATTATGTATATTTCAACATATTCTGCAGTGAAATGGACATAAAGAAGCACCTCTACAAATTATTTGTCTCTTTTGCATCTCTGTCCTCTAATATTCTCCGGATGATTTCTTGCTTTTGATGTGTTCAAATAAATCTTTATGTATACATTTAAAGTATTTTTTCTATAATCTAGTAGCAGGCTTAAGGGAATAAAAGTAGTTTAGGGGGTAAAAATCCCAGGGGGGCATAAGCTCCGACTCAAAACTAAGCACGCTCAATAATTGCAAAAAGCTGACCAGCATTTGCAAGGGGAAATGGAAAACTTATCGTTATTTGTTTTTCGGCCCCAGGTGAAGACCTTTTTATTTAAGCAGCATTTTAATTGTTAATATTATTGGATTTTATCTGGCCAGGGCGACTTATTTTTTATTGTTATTTTTTGCATTTTAACTGATGTTTGTATTTTTAATTTAATGTTATAATTATTTTTTAACTTAATGTTGTAAGCCGCCCCGAGGCTTCGGTGAATGGGGCGGCATAAAAATGTTTTAATAAATAAATAAATAAATAGATAGATAGATAGATAAAAAACTGGGCGAGAGAATGGGATGGACTGTCCTGACGTTCTCACAGCAACATTTTGGGCATTCCTGCTTGAGGGATTTTGCATGTGTGCAGCATTCCCTGCTCACAATTCTTTAAGGATTCTTTAGACAACATTGTGATCCTCCAGCTCAGCTTCTGTGTCTAAAGAACACTTTCAGGGAGTACTGTATGTTTTCCTTTCCCTTTTTTTAAAAGTTGGGAAAAGGCAGCATTTAATTGTTCATGTGAAAGAAAGCACATTTTCCTCTTCTATATTTGTGCCATTCTGCCACCTGGAGATTATATTGCAGAAAAGCAAGAAAGAAAGTGGATCTCAATTCAGCTATGAAACCAAAAGTAGATATAGCAGATTAACAGTGGATTACCTTTTTGTTGATGCTTCCTTTTCCAGTTTAATCAGTTACTTATTTAATACTGGAAGCAGCTTTTTTTCTATCATGCTCTTTTGACAAATCTTTGACAAATGGTATAGTGGCTAAATGTTGACCTAGACAGGTTGGTGGAAGACATGTGACTGGATTTCCTGCACTGATTTTTTTTCAAAAGAGCAAAGCAACCATGGATCAGTGCCATGGCAGGGAACAGAACGGGAAGCCTTCTCCCCATGTGTTCAAGCGCCACACAAAAATTTTGCCTCAACTGGAGGAAATTTGTGGGTACAGGCAGTCCCCGAGTTATGAACATCCAAGTTACAAATGACCTGTACTTAAGAACAAACGGCCATACAGTCGATTAAGATTAAAAAACACTGCAGGGAATCACCATCACCACAGAGAGGAAGCAAAAGGGGAGAGAGGGAGGGCTCCAGAGCAGACCTTCCTGCCCTGTCCCGTCTGGAGAAGGAAACCTCTCTGGCATTTCCTTGCTGCACAGAGCAGACACTGGTGCGTTTGTGTGGGGGGCGGGGTAGAAATATTCACAGTTTTCCCCTTTTCATGGGGGTCCTGTGCCCACCCCTGCGAATGTGGAAGGTTGACTATACGTGATCTGACTTGCATACAAATTCAAGTTAAAGACGAATTTCTGTGTCCTCAGGGACTGCCTGTATCCATTTCATCCTCATAAGCTCCCCTCCAGGTGACCAATCGCAGGGAGGTGGGGTTGGAAGGGAGCCTTTAAATAAGAGAAATGGCTCAGTGGGAAGCACGGATGGTCCTGTGCTTTTGCCCCTCCCTTGGCTACCATGTTCTTCTGAGAAAGCAAGGGGGATCTGCTCGAAGAACTTTAGTTATCATGCCTACTTTGAGAGGCTGCTAAAATGGCATTTCTGCCCTTGAGCGACCTTTAGCTGCTGCTGCTGCTCTGGCCTCCGTCATCCATGGGAGGGAGGGAGTGCTGCACAGTGTTTCAGGTCTTGGGTTGTGGCCAGGTTCCAGTTCCTCACTGGGTGCTTTTGGGTCAGTCACTGATTCTCAGTCTAACGTATCTCACAGGGATATTGTGAAAATGAAACAGGCAGCTGGACAGTCATGCGAGGCACTTTGATTCCTTGCAAATGGGAAAAATCGGGATGTAAATGCAATCATAAATAATGTGGGAATGGACCTGTCGGGATAGTGTACTCTGGACAGGGCACTGCAAGGGTTACTGACATGTGAAGCATGTTAAACATTACTAAATGCTGGATAGCTGGAATTATGATTGCTATAATTTCTTCTATATTTTGGGAATATAAACTTTTGGGATGTGGCCTTAATAGCCAGTAGTGAAGCTAACCATGTCTGACCACATATGGTTTCAGAGGAATTATTTCCTGGACTGAGGTCCTGCGCGTTTTTCGGCATTCAAAAACAAGGCCTGCTGAGTGAAACGGATCTTATTCCCTAATGAGTGTACTTACAAGTCTATTCCACTGGAGTGGTAAAACAGAATTGGAAATTGCTGTGCTCTCCGGCTTTTTTCCTCTCTTTCCTTTGACCAGAAAACTAGAGAAAATCTTAATAATCATGTTAGAGGCCCCATAGCGACACCGGGTTTTGCGGTGTCCCTCCCGAAGGGCTGTTTTGAGAGCGGCCTGTGCACGGCCGACCAGGTCTGCAGCGCCCAGTGCCCGGGGTCAAGCGCTTTCGCAAAGAGCATCCTTTTTGTGGACGGAGGAGCTCGAGATTAATGGGACAGCCCAGGCGAACTCAGTCCTGGAGGCCTGCAGGAGCCGAGCGGACGTCCTTGGGTGTTCCTCCCGCTTGGCTTCCTTCGGGCAGGATGCAGGTGATTTTGTCCCGTGCGCAGATGCCTCGCGCTTGCGTTTGTCCTCTGCAAAAGGAAAAGTCTCCGATTTCCGAGGGACGTGATTGCGAGGCATGAAAAAGGCAGGAAAACAACCTCGGCTCTATTCCTTTTCTCCTCTCCCATCCAGGGTCTGGCGGGGGATCCGATTGGCCAAGCTGCCATCTAGAGGCGCCTTTCTGCAGCGTGCATATATAACCGACCAGGCAGCAGGAAAGAGCAGTCAGTCTCCCGCAAGCCGTCCTGCGAGAGGAGCGTTTCCTTGCGCGCAGGAGGGGAGGAAGGCGAACTGAAGGTAAGGAAATTGCGCGACAATCCTCGGGTCACAAGGGAAAGGAAGCGCAGCGTGGGAAAGCAAAACAGCAGGCAGGCGAGGACCTTGGCGCGAAGCTGGGACGGACCGCTCGTGCTGCCCGAGCAGAGCAGGGCAGATTGACACCCGCTGGGAGAAGTGGGCGCTTAATGCGTGGCTTGAAGTAACGCCCCCCCACCGCCTCCCCCCAAAAGAGGGGAAAATACAGTCTCCCTTATGTCTTTGGAGAAGAGGGATTGCCTTTTAGGGCTAGTTTCCTGGGCTCCTTAATTTTCTTTGTTCTGCTTTAGACATTTCCCCCCTACCGATTCCTGCCTCCGAAGGTCTTTGTTGGGGAGAACAAATCCCCTTTGCAGAGGGGGATACCCTTGGTCCCATGAGGCAGCCACTGATTTTGCAGGCCGTCTGAAGTCTCTTGACAGCAGCAACTTGTATTTCAACTGATGGAGAAAACCAGAATGGCTCAGAGGGTGACTTTGTTGTGCTTTCACCGCCCTTACAGTGCAGCAACTCAGAAAATATGTGGCACTTGTTTATTTACTATTTCTTTACAGCACACTGGTGTTCGTTCAGTCACAAAGCTCTAAAAGTGGGGTTATGGCATGTAAATGCACTCATTTTCTTTAGGGCTCCCAGTGATACAACCTGCTCTCCAAATAAGTCTCAGCACTTGTATTTGGATGAGAATTGGTCCCGAGTTAGAATTCACACACACTTTCTGCTGGGTTAGGGTGCCAAAGGTGGCAAAATTATGCACACTGATGTGGGGCTTACTTCTTTCTAAGGGCCTATGCATTCACTGGCTCAAACTGAGCATACTATGACTTTTGTGTAAACTTGATTAGGATGGCATTGCACATCCATTCAACATTAAGGGGTTTGCAACGGAAAAGCCACCGTGGACCAGTCAGTAGCTGATCACAGCTTATGAACCTCTGTGCCAGTCAGGGGAGTTACGAACTATTTGTTAACATGGGAAATATGTATCAAAACGGTTTGGTCATGTCACAAGAAACATCAGGACTGCGATCCTTGGCACACTTACTTAAGGATTAAGTAAGTCCTGTGGAATAAGTCCTATTTCAGATTACAGAGGTCCTGCAGAAGTTTCATCCAGTCACGCGCTGAGCAATGAAACAACTTGTTGCCCACCTTTTTGTGTGCCTTGAGTACCCTTGTCATAAGACACTCCGCATTCACAGCGAAGGAAGAATGGGCATCGCCATTGCCATTGGCCGGGCTCAGGCAGTCTTGTGGAGCCTCTTTGCTGACAAGTACTCAGTCATGTCGGGGTGGATGGGTAATAAATGCTTGCCCTGTAGCTTGTAGGAGTAACGAGGAGTTGTAAAGCTTTTCTGTGTAGTTGCTAAAAGCAGCATAATGAGGGTTATTTTAAAAGTCAGAGTGGCTTGTTAAAAGTTTTATGATCCTTTGAAAGTATTTGAGGTCATTCCCAAGAAGTCTGATTGGACAAACTTTCAAGCATAGGCTACCTATGGCAACTTTTTCTAAGTTTAACTGCTGCCACTGAGTCTCTGACTTGGTTCGGGAGAAAGGGACCAATGATTGTGTGATGAGAAGGCCACGAAGGACTGTGCTTCTCTCTGTGGTTTGCCACCAGTAGCAAGTCCGATGTGTGGCTAGATGGTTCAAGGAATAGCCCTTCCATGGGAACAGAAAGGGACTTTCCTCTTAGCTTGCAAAGAACAAATGCTTCTAGTTGCTGCTAAAGAAGCTACTAGAGTGGATGCTATTTTCTTTAGAAATATCACTAAATAGATCAGGCATCACGTCATTTAACAGAGAAAAGAACCCCAGTATCTCATAATGAGCCATCCTTTTCCTGGTGCAAGACCAGATAGGGTTTAAAACCAAGGACAAATGAATAACTGAGAATATGTCATATGATAAAGAAAGGAGCAGTGCTATTATTTAAATTCACCTAATTCCATTTATTAATAGTCAACAGTGCTGCCTGTAAATATCTTCTAATATTGGCTGCCTATTTTTTAGGTGTGAAATAGCATTAAGTTGTGTGCATGGCCCTTTTTGGTGTGTCTGTTCTCAGTAGCAGAATCAAAGTTGGGAAACCACAGCCAGGATAATTTTGTGATCCTGTGCAGAAATAGCTAAAAGGAATAGCAATCTCAGGGTTTTAGCTAAGGCTTTCTCTCCCTCTGTGTTTGTATCATAATATCCAGATAAGCTGCTTATGTTTGCACGCAGCACATTAAAATCCCACACCAGCTTTTGCCTGATGACCTGAACCGTTTTACACACATCCATTACTAGAGCTCTTTTTTTAGCCAATGCATTGGACTAGTGAGCGCACAAAGGAGTGACAGGGTGGGCTTTACATCCAGCTGCCTTTTGATCCCCACCCCCAGCCAATCCACAAGAACCTGCACTTTGTTAGGCAGCTGGAAGGAATGCAACGCGGCACCCAGCAAAATTTGGAGTTGTAGTCAGGTGACTGTGTCATTACTGGTTCTCTGCAATATTGCCATGGTTCTGCTTTTAACAAATGCAGACCAGAATAGGTAAAGTCATTCTAAATGTTTTCTTAAATACAGAAAAGCACTTCAACCATAGTTCAGTTCATACTAAACTTTGGGGGCACAGTCCAACCGGAATGATTTGCATATAAATCTTGTTGATTTCAGAGTAAATGTGAGTGTGTGTGTGTGTGTGTGTGTGTGTGTGTTTAAAAACATGCACCATTAAAATCCTTAACTTTGGCAGTATTAAGTAAGTGGATATCACAAACCGACTAATTTTTTAACTGCATCCTGCTTTCTCTGTATTTTTTTCGGTCATCACATCACTTGAAAGTTTGCATATTCTTATGCCATCAGAAGTTAGGCCACTAAAATATGAAATTCTATGTTTTAATGTTCAGAACATGACAACAACTTGCATTCTGATAAAGTCAACTCTAGTGAACCTTGAGGACATGGGCACTTATGCCGGAATAAATTCTTTAGCTTTGACAGTACCATAGGACCCTTTGTTGTTTTCCATCAACAGACTGACACAGCGACTATGCTGGAAAGAAAATGTGTCAGTCATTCAACAAGTACCTGCTCTAAGAACAGTTGATGTGAGCCAGGTGATGCGGGTGCCTTTATGCATGTCACTGCCTGCATACAGCCTTACCTCATGTATAACAATAGTTATTTTACCCAGGATACAAATAGGCTGAGATGGTAGGATTATGGACGGTGGCATTTCAGGTTGCAGGTGCGTCTCAGTGCTCCCCTAACATTTTATGTAGTAATCCAGGGGGAAAGATTGCACTGTTCTCTCCTTGAGGTATAAGTTTACTATTCACAAGACTTTTTAAACCAAGGAAGTAATTAAAAATATGACTCCGCTACTGCCGTCAAGAATTTTTCCAGCTCATTGCTGATAATACATAGAATGACTTGAAGTGTCAAGGAGCGGGCCCTTAAATTCATTTTTTCTTTTAAAACTCAGAGGAAAATTCCAAAGGGCATATGTAAGATGTGTTTGAAGATAGGGAGTAAAAGCTGAAAACATTTCAGTGTCGTTGTGCTTTGCTTACTTATGCCATATCATGTAATGTTGGAAAAACTGAGTTGTTGCGCTGCATGATTTGGATAGGATAGCAAACCTCCTCCGTCACGCAGCATCGCGTCCTCTGTTGGCCAAAGGAGAGTGAGGGGAGATACAATACAGTAGCCCAGGAACTGTAATCCTGCCTCCTGAGCTTGGAAGGAGTTGTTTAGATGTATGAAAACGATGAATGGATAACTAGAAGGATGGGATGAATCTTCATGTGTATATTTTCTGCTTTGGCTCCTGATACAACTGCTTCAGCAGCCTAGTTTCTCTGTTGTACAGCACTCTGGTTGCCCTTTTTAAGGATGATCTCACTGAGCCTGAAATGCTCACTACGGTTCTGTCTAAAAAGAGAGCTTGGACACAGAAGAACTGATACCCCCTTGCCCCAAATAATCTGGGTGGGAAGATCTCAGCTCTGGTCCCTTGAGCAATGCCAGACAATAGCAGACTGGCTGTTCAGCGCAGTCATCTCTGGATATGGCTGTCCCCGGGCTTAAATATACACAGCTAATCCCCACAGTGATTTGGGCATATCACTTTTCTGGCAGTGGTTCTGCACTGCTGTCCTGCAAGAGTCTCCTTAGTGCGTTTGGTGCATTTGCAGGCAGTTGCAGTATGAAAGCTGTGCTGGTAGTGAAAGTGCCCAGGAGAGCACCGACTGGCCTGCTGCAAAAGGCCCGCAGTCATTCATTAACAAACAGTCAGGATTGCGCTGTGCTTGGTTTAACTGGCATGCTGAGCTACAGTGCTCTGCTATTCCAGGGCGAGCACTGGCAGGGGGCCACCAAGCCCACAACCAGTTTAAATTGGGCTGTTATTCTATCCCACTGGAGCAGCAGCAGCAGCAGCAGCATGTCCTTTGCCAAGGAAAAGGAACTCACTCGATTGTGGATTTCACTGAAAGATGATCTAGCACTTCTATTGACCAGGATGAGTTCTTTTTGGAATGCATTTGTTCAATAGTCACACTGAAGTTCTCATCATATCAGTAGAAATGTGATTCTTTTAGGAGGACAATTAAATTATAAGGAGTTGTTGATTCCACCACATTAAACCGAGTGAAGCTTCATTTGCTTGACTGAACTAAATGATTCTTCTTTAGTTTCTATTTCTATCATGGAAACAAGTCAATGCTGTCAGCTTTGTTCATTAATTAACAAAAATCAAAAAGAAAACATCTGCCTTCTACATATAAACATGTATACCATGGGCTTATTCCAATGTTACTGCTACTTAGTTAGACCCTTTAAAATGAATGGGCTGTTTATTGTGACTATCAAAAAAAAAAAAAAAAAAAAAGAATTCTCTTACACATGTCAAGATGCATTGTTAGAATAGATGCATATGGAATGTGAACTGGTGTGTATATGAAAATACAACTGTCAATAAAAACAGTT